ATACAACATAATTATTTAACTATTTCAACTAAGCCACTAGTCGTTACCAATTGATACAAATGATGAAGTGGCACTTAAAAGGAATTGACATTATTATAATTCAATCTTTATTATTTATATAATCAATTTGGTCCTAAATTAAATAGAATTTAATAAATTAATCATTTAATTAGGATCTGACATGTGTTAGCACATGATCATGACACGTGTCATTGGTGACACATGTCACCACCTAATTATTTATATATGCTATCAATTTGGTCCTAAATTAAATAAAATTTAATAAATTAATCATTTAACCAGGATCTGACATATGTTAACACATGATCATGATATATGTTATTGGTGACACATGTCACCACCTAATTAGAAGAAAATTAAGTTAAAAAGAAGTAAAATTTGGGTCTTGGGCAAACTCAAACCTGAGTCACGCAAATGAAAGATACATGGTGGAGCCACTAAGCTAACACCATCGTTTGTGTTAAGAGATATACAATAATACATATACTAATAGTATGACCAATGCCAGAAAAAAAGAATATAATGGAAAACGGAAATAATGAGATTTGAACTTCGGCAAAAAATTTGAAAGCAATAAATGATGGGAAAATATTATATTTTTTTACAATAAAAAATATTATATTTGATAAATTGTTTGATAGATTTAATATATTTTTTAAATATTAGTTGATACAATATTTTAAAAGAATAAATTTAATATTTATATATTTTTAAACTAACTTTAATATTTATATTTTTCATATTTATAATTCATGATTATATATATAATCTTAAGTTGAGTATTTCTAATATAATTAATAATTTTAATTTCTTATTAAAAATAAAATATTCAAAAAATATAAATGATTCATACATTAATATATGAATATATTTTTTTATTTATACATCTAAATATAAATATACATTTATATAAATATATTTTTATTCGTATATTGAAATATTTTGATTAAAATATAAACATATTTTAAATACTAGTTTATACGAGAAAAAATAAAATATATCAAAAATATAAATGATTCATACATTTAAAATATAAATTGAATCATTTATATTTTCTATACATCTATATTTAATAAGAAAATAAAATTATTGGGGGACTGTTTTGAAAATTTTAAAAGTTGGGGACCTAAATTCAAGTGCCTAAAAAGTTCAATGACCGTTTATATAATTTATCCTAATTTTCTAACAGTTATTTAAGTTGAGGGACCATATTGCAAACGGAATAAATGTTGGGGGACTGTATTGCAAGTTTTAAAAGTTGGGGGACCTAAATGCAAGCTTCAAAAATGTTCAGTGACCATTACTATACTTTACCCTTATTATTATTATTATTGATCAAGAACTTACAAGTATAATATTCAAATTCATTTATTATATACTTGCTATTCTAATATCACTATTCAAATTGACTAGATTTTCGAAATTTACCAGTATAGTTGATGTAATTAACTTAAACTCTAATTTTGCTTAAAATTTTTCAGGTTCTATGGGAACGCGCTATTCAACCTAAAGTAAAAATATTGTCAACATTTAAATAAAGAGCACAAGTGGGTGCAGTGGTTAGGCGTTGTAAGGATTATCAATTTGACAACAGTATACTGACACATGGCACTAATGAAATTTACCATGAGTAACCAAAATGAAAACAGAATATAATTTTAGTTGTCATTTTGCAAGTTCTAAATTTGAAAGACCAAAATGAAGAATTTTTATAATTAGGTGACCAACTATGTACCCTTCATATATCCAAACTAAAACTGAAGTATTAAACTTCAGAATTTAGATTTTCTTTATTTTCCTCAACTTGATATAATAACATAAAATTATTCTCTCTCTATTTTCCAATACAGGAATTTCCTCTAACATGCAAGCTAGATTCCAAAATATATGGTAATCAAAAAAGTACCATAACAAAGGAACACATAGAGTCCAACTTAGAGTGACTCACCATTGAGAAGGTAACACTTTCTATATAATGTTTCTTAATCTATACCAGGGTTTTAAATAGCGTTCGCGGACATGTTTTCGGTCGCGTCGTATTTATCGCGGTCGCGGATATAACGGATGCCATCGCGTTCACTGCAGGTGTCGCGGTCGTGATTTTTTTAAAATTTTGCACAACTTATCTTAAAATATAATAAAAATAATTATAATTACAAGGAATAATTTTTAAAGATTTTTAAAATGATTAAATCAAATAGAATTAAAATAAAAGTGTAAAATTTAAATATTTGGAATTTTAATTACAAAAATTAGAACTAAATTAAATGAAAATTAAACTTTACTATCTAAATTAAGAATTAAATTAAAGAATAAAAAAAGAATTAAGAATTAAATTCTAATGCTAACTCATAAATCTTAAATAAAATATATGACAATATTATAAGTCTAGATTCTTTAAAACCTAGCTTGTAAAACAAATTTTCTTCACTGGTGAATGAGATAAATTTACCTATTTTTTTAATATAATTGACAGGTCCTTGTTCTCATTTCTCTCATCTTCTTCCCTAGTTTAGTTCAGTTCTTCGCTTCTTCTTCCCATCCCCATTCCCTAGTTCAATCTTCTTCGTTTCACTCTCACCCATTTCACTCTTCTTCAATCTTCAATAAAAGGAAGATTGCATATTTGAAACCCTAAATCTCCGAGTGAAAATTGTATCTTCAATCTTCCTAAGCTAAGCGGGAAAAAAAACTTTTACAGTTTTACCTTCTTAAATGGAAGCGATAAGCTTGATCTACTCCTTCGCCGGAGGCGAAGCTCGACGGACAGAAGACTTCCTAGTTTCTACTGACTGGGCTTTGTTTTTTCGACTCTTCCCCTTCCCGATTGGTTTTTGGTAAGATGCATGGGTAATGGGTATTTGATTCTACCGTTCACTAAATAGTTTTGTCTATATTCTATTCATTTTGATTTTTATTTTTGTATACGGTTGGTTGAATGCTTGATTGCAAAGGGAATGTTTATTTTTGTTTTTGTCTTGGAATCACGGGTGAATAACGGTCGATGCGTCCCGTTATTGGCGCAATCGTCCGTTTCCCGTTATATCGCGGACGCAATTGACCGATATTGGTGTGAATCGGTGACCCACCGCAAAAATCATAAAAAGCAGTTTCGGACGGCCGCTATAACGTTTTCGGAAAGCTATTTGATACCCTGATCTATACTACAGGGGATTGGATGTGGCAGATATTAATATGTCTTAACACATTTAAGATCAATCTTTTTAATCTTGTTCATGTATTTTAAAGGCCCTTGGGTGGTAGTGTATTTGTACCCTTGTTTAATTTGGATACATGTATCTGAAAAGCTATGGTTGAACAGGCACTAGAGGCCAACAGGTTGTTCATATTGGATCACCATGATTCACTAATGCCATGTCTCAGAAAGATAAACTCTACTTCCACCAATATTTATGCATCGAGGACCGTGTTGTTCGTGAGAGATGACGGGACTTTGAAGCCATTGGCGATTGAATTGAGTTTGCCAGATCTAAAGGGGGATCAATATGGCGCTGTGAGCAAGGTTTATACACCTGCACAAAATAGGGTTGAAGGTTCCATATGGCTGCTGGCTAAAACTTACGTGGCTGTAAATGATTCTGGTATTCATGAGCTCATAACCCATTGGTAATTCACATCCAGCAAATAATATACGTTGGTTAGCTTAGCTTCAAATATGGTAGGATGGTGGTTTATAATAATTTGATTACAGGTTGAAAACTCGTGCAACAATAGAGCCATTTGTGATTGCGACGAATAGGCAGCTTAGTGCGGTTCATCCTATTCATAAGCTTCTCCACCCTCACTTCCTTGATACGATGCATATAAATGAATTGTCTCGGGCCATTCTTATTAATGCAGGTGGATTACTAGAGTTCACTGTTTTCCCTACAAAATATTCCATGGAATTGACGTCGGCAATATACAAGGGTTGGAAATTTCTTGACCCTGCCCACTTATCTCAAGGAAAGGTAAATCTAATCAATTCAGATAAATTGACAAAGTTAGTCTGATAAATCTACAGCATTTTGAATCCATTTTTGCTTTATTCAGAGGACTTGCAGTCGATGATAAGGATTCACCAAATGGTCTTCGATTACTGATAGAAGATTATCCGTAAGCGGTTGATGGATTGGAGATTTGGTTTGCAATTGAACAATGGGATCGAGACTATTGTTTGTTTTACTACAGGAACGATGAAATGGTTCAACAATACCCAGAGATTCAAGCCTGGTGGAAGGAAGTTCGAAAGCAGGGTCACGGTGACAAGAAAGACGAGCCATGGTGGCCTAAAATGCAAACTCTCGAAGACCTCATACATTCATGCATCATTATCATATATTCATGCACCATTATCGTATGGCTTTCTTCAGCTCTACATGCAGCCTCTAACTTTGGCCAATATCCTTATGCAGGCTACCCACCCAATCGTCCTACCATAACCCGCAGGTTCATGCCTGAGAAAGGCACTCCCGAATACACCGAACTCGAGTCCAATCCAGACAAGGTTTTCTTTTAAACAATCTCTGGTCGACTGCAGACAGTGATTGGGACTGCAGACAGTAATTGGGATTGCATTGATTGAAGTTCTGTCTAGGCATCCATCGAAGGGACAAAGAGACTCACCTGAATGGACGTCTGATGAAACAGCGTTAGCAGCTTTTAAGGAATTCGGGAACAGGCTTTCGCGAATTGAGGAAAGAATTGTGCAGAGGAACAATGACAAGAGATTTAAGAATCGTGTTGGTCTTGCTAATATGTCCTACACTTTTCTCTATCCTACCGGTGAAGTTGGAATCACGGGTAGGGGAAATCCAAACAGTATAGCAATCTAGTACTTTAAACGCAACTAATGCGGTTTATCTACAGTGTGATAGATAATTAATTTTAACATTCATACTTAAACAATCTTAGAATCAAATCCTTTAATTTACTACAATAAGCTAATTTATCTTGAACCAAAAAACAAGACGAGCAAGGTTCAGACCAATTTCTTCAAAAACAGAAAGATAACCCATGCTCCGAGCAACCGAGACTCGCCTCAATTCGTGTAGCAAATCAGTCTCCCTTCTTCCTGAAAGAGCATCCCTCCGTGAGTCTGGCTCGACCTCCGGTCGGCTGGCAAAGAACAGTCTGACAGTTACCACAGACCACCACAGTTTGAGAGTGGCTAAACACAGTTGTTCTGTCCAAAAAAAAAAAAAAAGAAATGTTAGCGAATATGATCCACTAAATATATGAAAATTTAAGACAAATTATCAATATCCGACCCTCAGACATGTTACATTATTTATAAAGAACAAAAGACAATTCAAGCAATGTAAGAACTCACATGTTGAAGCAGCCTTGGCATTTGACATCCTTTACAAAGAAAAAAAGAAAAAAGTTAAAACTCCCAACATATTTGCATGGGCAGATATGAGATTTAGATCAAAAGGAATAGAGTTTTAACAAATCACCATGAAGAAAGAGTTGGGGGACTGAACGAGACGCTTGAGCTTGTGCTTCTTCTTCTCAAGTTCAGCTGGAGGATTCAACAAATCAACATCGTTTTGGAGAACCTAAAAGTCCCAAACATCCACAAATCAGATTCAATTATATATAACAAAAAACAAGATAAACAAGAAGAAACTAAGCAAGAGATTGATCTGACCATTTTGGCTTGGGTGCTAGATGTTTCAAGAGCAACCTCACAAACCGTCGAATGCTTAGTAGGTGGCAGAGGTGGAGGAGGAAGATGCAAATGGTAATGTGATATTTTATATATGTAGAATGGTTGACCTAAGTAAACACCCAGTAAAAGTAAAACCCCCCAACATTAAATCTGGGTTTATGTTTGAGCCCAGTCTTATTCCAGCAATGGAGTTTGTTTTCTTTCTGTGTTCTAGCCCAAGCTAAATTCAAACGAGAAACAAGCACCCCAACTCTTATTACATACGTATATAAAAAAAACTGTCACACCCACCAGGGTTGAAAAATTAAAAAAATTAAACTATTAAATATGAGAAAATTATTTTTATATAAAATATCAAATATTATCACCATCTAAAAAACCAGTAGCTCTTCATGGTAAAATTATCTTCTAATCCCTTTACAAACAATGAAAATAAAAATAAATATAATACAGTAGAATTTTTGAATTTTGTAATTCAAAAACTTATTATTCAATTTGGTCCAATTATTATTATTTGGATTTTCTCCTGCCTGTTGATGCAATACCCCTGTCCTAAGTTAACTCGATAAAAATCTCATTAATTACGTTTTTAGGGGAAAATCCTTTAAAAATAAACAATAACGCAATGGAAATAATAGAAATACTTCTGGAAATAAACTTATGTTTAATGCAACTCATGTGAAAAGAAAAACTACCGAATACAAAATTCCATATATCTAGGCCTAAATTAAAATTAATTAAGACATTCCAGAGGTAAGTTCAGTTCCAGCAACTACGGACATAGCAATCAAGATTCTAGTATGCGTATTTCGTTCTCCGACGGGATTAGGAGGATTCGGCGGGGTGTTGAAAATAGTAGTGCAACTAGCTTGTGCTCTAGGTGCCGGTTGTTCCGCCTGCAACATACTCTTATAATCCTCCTGGTTAAACGCCGTCGTCGCTTGTTGGAAAAACGTTATCACGTTGTTATAAGCATTTTCGCAAGTTATGAGAGCATTCTTCTCTGCCGGGTCAGTCGCGTTCTTGAGGAGTCCGACGATAAATTCATGAGTATCACTTGCACTACTCAGAGTTTGCTCGACGGCAATCTGCGTCAGTGCGGTGATATTGGCGGTTGAACCCTTCAAGTTTTGCTGGAAAGCATCGTTGCAAAATGCATATTCTTCCATCCGTCGACAGATTTTGTCGATCAACGCTTGAGTCGCTTCATCACACAATACAGAACTGGTGAATATGGAGCTGGAGAGGAAAGTGAGAAGAACAAAACAAGTGTATAACTTTGAAGGATTAGCCATTGTTTTGTATAATTTCTAGGATTAGGGTAATGACTAGTGATGTATTGCAAATAAGAATGAGAAATATATATAGCTATTTTACATGAATGGTAAGCAGGGAAATATATTAATATATGGAGTTGTTTTAATATTATGATTCTTATTACTATAAAAGACAGTTTAAAAGGAATTAACCATTGTTTTGTTTAATTTATGGAACTAAGGCAGTGATTAGTGGTTGATATTCCAAAAAGAAAAAAGAACATTTATATAACTATTTTATATTAATGATAAGCAAGGAAATATATTAATATACGGGCTTTTTTAATATTATGAATCACGTGGATTCTTATTACTATAAAATATATATATTTTTTATTTAAATATTCTTTTTAAAATTAAAAAATAATTTGATATTTAAATTGATGAAACTTATCATATATATTTTGTTCTCCCCTCAAATGATTGTTTCAAGTACCTAGGGTCTATGATACATAAAGATAGGGGTGTGGATGATGACGTTACACACCGTATAAAGGCGGGATGGCTAAAGTAGAGGGTTGCTACCGGAGTTTTGTGTGACAAGAAGGTGCCTCTAAAACTTAAGGAAAAATTTTATAGAATGGCAATAAGACCAGCGTTGATGTATGGATCAGAATGTTGGGCAATCAAGAAGTATCACGTAAGGAGGATGGAGACCGCAAAAATGAGAATGCTTAGATGGGCATGTGGTAGGACTTTGTGGGACATGATACCAAACTCTGCTATTAGGATGTCCTTGGGGGTGGTGCCTATACCCGAAAAATTGAGGGAGGGAAGACTACGGTGGTTTGGGCATGTCCTTAGGCGACAACCATCGGATGCGGTTAGGAGGGTGGAGTCGATTACAGTCGACGGTGCCAGAAGGAGATGATGACCAAGGCGGAAGTGGGAAGACTGCTTGAGATTTGATTTAAAGGATTTAGCCCTTACTGAGGACATGACCTCTGATAGGAAAGTATGGAGACTTAAGATCAGGGTAACTGAGTAGTACAAATCACATCCATAGGGTATATCATCTCTGTCTTCTTTTTATGCATTTGTAGTAATTTCCATGACTTCTTCTTTTTATACGTTTCTGTCATTGGAATTTATGAAGGCTTAGAACTACGGTAGCGGAGTAGTGTTGCTTTAGTTTAGGTTTTAACACATTTGACTTTATTCCTTCTTGTTGCTTGCTATCATTGAATTTTGTGTATCTTTTACTTCAAGTTTTGCTCTTTTTAAATATTATTCGGGTCTTACGTTTCTTTCTATATGCAGAGATTTTTATGCAGGGATTTATTTGCAGGGATTACTTCACATTTCAGACGCACATATGTAGACTGCATATGAAGACTGTTCAACTATTTATTTATTTATACATGCATGGCATTTCTATCTTTACTTTTAATTTTTCTAACTGCCGGAGGTCTTTCACAGAAGCTGCTCTCAACCTGGTATTGGGGGCAGCCTACTATCCTACCTCCCCCTTACCCCATTGTATATGGGAATAGGGTTTTGTTGTTGTTGTTGTTGTAATGGTAATGATAAATTTCAAACTTATTATTAAAGGACGTCGTTTGTTTATTTTTTGGGAAGCCAGAACGCCTTCGTTCCATTATCTTCTTCGTTCTTCGCTGGGATACATTTTTTTTTCTTCAACCACCATGCCTTAAAACCAAAAAACCTCTTGAATAAATTCTGCCACTGGAACGTCAATGGCGTGCTTTGTTTTTTTTTTGGATAAGTAAATTATATTCATCCAAAAGAATGCAACAAAACTGCTACAAGAACAAAGCAAGTCCCAACACTAGATCAATCCCCAATTTATACACATTTGCCTATTTACATCATCAATCCCCTGTATACTATGGCTATACAATTTGATTTTTACAACATCTTTTATACTACTTACAATCATATCAGCATAACGTGAAGAACCCCTGAAGCTCCTATGGTTATGTTCCTCCCAAATGTGGTACAAAAAACCAGTCCAGGCGAGCTTGAGAATCCTCACCCTGAGAGATTTACTCTTCAAGTTAACAATCAACCATTGAAGAATATTATCCCATTTAAACGAAGCAGGACGAATCCCACATGAAACCTGCACAGCATCCCATACTTCTTTAGCAAATGAGCAATTTGTAAAGAGATGGTCACGGGACTCAATCCCAGACCCACACAGAACACAACCATTATCCAAGACCAATTCAAACCGAATCAGCCTATCCCTCGTAGGCAGTCTATCAAGGGTGGCCATCCAAGTAATAAGGGAGAATTTCATAATATGAGCAGGAAACCAAATGATCATGTGCCAACTAACTTTCTCTTCACGAACTCTGATCTGATCCCAAATCCATTTACCCTTAATCAGGTTCCAATTGGCACAAGGAAGGAACAAATTCCTAGCCTTCTCAAGAAGCTTCAACAGATTTTTAAAAATCCAGCTAAATCATGCCTTGTACTCAACTTCCCAGAAACTAACAACTTTGAGGCAGTATGCACATAACCAAGCAATCCAAAGTGAGCCATCATTTGCTAAAATATTTTTAATGAGAAGTAGGCAGCAAGCCATACTCCAAAGTGCAAGAATCCTTAGACCCAGACCACCCTCAGAATTAGGAGAGCAGACCTGGCTCCAGATTACACAAGCACCTCTAGCTGGGGCATCACAACCTATCCAGAAAAACCACATGCAAAGTCTCTCAACATCATTAATGATCCCCTTAAGGAGAACAAGTTGTCTGCTCCAAAAATTAAAGATACTAAACAAGACAGTTTTTACCAACTGCAGCCTGCCCCCAAAGCTGAGCTTTTTGCTGGACCATTGAGCTAGTTTACCTTTAATTCGTTCCAAAAGAGCATAATAGTCCTTCCCTGTGAGCTTGCGAGTAACATGGGGTACTCCAAGATACCTGACAGGGAGTTGCGCTATCTTAAACCCAGTAGCTTGCTGAATCAGATCAAATGTGTTTGTATTTAAGCCACATGCAAAAAATTCTATCTTCAGTGCATTCAACTTTAATCCTGATAGATTGTATAAAACCTCTAAAGTACTCTGTACTCCCAACACAGACTCAAGGGAGCCATGGAAAAAGACTAACAGATCATCCGTGAAGCAAAGATGAGTGAGAGAAACTCTCTTGCATTTGGGATGGAATCTAAAAATTCCTCTCTTGGCAGCAACATTCAACAGGGAGGATATGACATTCATCACAATAACAAAAAGATAAGGGGATAGAGGATCCCCTTGCCTAATCCCCTTGACCCTTTAAAATACCCTACTACACTGCCATTCAAGCAAACATAGTACATAGGGGTAGTAATACAAGCCTTGATCCAATTGTAAAATATATCAGACAACCCCATTTCCCCAAGAACAAACAATAAAAAGTTCCAGTTAACAGAATCAAAAGCCTTTTGTATGTCAATTTTTATAGTACATCTAGGGGAAAGATTTTTCCTAGAATATCCCTTCACTATCTCCTGAGCTAACACGATATTGTCAACTATATTTCTACCCTTGAGAAAAGTTGATTGATTGTGGGAAATCAGTCCAGGGAAGTAAGGAGTAAGTCTATCAACAAGAATTCTAGTAATAGTTTTGTATGCAACTGAGAAACAAGAAATAGGTCTAAATTCCTTTGCTAAGGTAGCATTTGGGAATTTAGGGACCAAAACTAAGGTTGTGAAATTGAAGGCAGACATTAAGTAGGAAGTTTGGAAGAAATACCTCACATCAGAAGTGAAATCACTACCCACAGTGCTCCAGGCAGCTTTGGAGAAGCCATCAGTGTAACCATCAGGACCTAGGCTTTTATCCTTCCCTTGTCTAAAGAGAGCCTCTTTGATCTCCACATCACTCACCTCCTTAGTAAGACATACATATGCACTATCCGGTAGACACACATTAATCAAGTCCTTCAAATTTCCAGCAGAGCAGCCTTTAACTAAGGGGTCAGTAGAGCCAATGAGGTTAGTGAAAAAACCCACTAGCTCAACAACCATATCTTTAAAAGATTCAAACAACTGCCCATCCTCACTTTTGATAACTCTAATATTGTTCCTTTTCTTATTAGCTTGAAATTTCTGATGAAAACATTTTGTATTCAAATCCCCCTCACTAAGCCAGTGTGCTTTAGCTTTCTGTTTATAAAAAACAGCTTCAGCAGTTTCCAAATCCACAAGTTCAGAATGAACCCTCCTCTCTTCATCAGTCCTCCTTTGAGCTGTGTGAGCCAGATTAAATGTTTGGATCTACTCCAATTCAAACCTTTTAGCTCTGACTCTACCAGAGATGTCATAGAAAAACTCATTGTTAAGCTCTTTAAGGAGAGGCTTAAGCCTTCTCAACTTATTGGAAAAAAAGCTCATAGTAGATCCTGCACATTGACTCTGCTAGGAATCCCTAACAATAGTCAGAAACTTATTGTGACCAGTCCAATAATTGAAGAACTTGAAAGGCTTAGGGTGCTTAGTCATTGTTGCCTTATGTGACCACAATAAGCCTAAACAATGATCAGAGACCCCATGGGCTTTGTAATCTACAAAAGAGTCTGGGAAATCCAATAACCATTGATCGTTGACTAAAATTCTGTCAAGTTTGCGGGCTAAGTAAGAGCCATCTTGCTTGTTGGACCAGGTGAATAAAGGCCCAAGAAAAGGATGATCAATAAGGTCTAGGCCCTCCAAACACTCCTGGAAGTCCTTAATGTCAGGGGTGTAATGGACTCTCATGACATCAAAGTCAGAACTCTCCTCAGGCTTGGCAATGATGTTGAAATACCCACCTACCAGTCAGGAGGAAGGACCAATGTCCTTATCAACAATACTTAGATGATCCCAAAGATCCCTTCTAACAACACCATTATTACTGCCATATATAGCAGTAATAGTTGTTCTGTGCCCATCAACAACCCCAATAATAGTAATAACTTGGTCACAACATCTCAAAACAGTGACAACAAATGCTTCCTCCAAAAAAATCCATAGCCTACCTCCCTCAACAAAATCATAGTTCTCAGCAAAGTTCCAGTCACCAGCCAATGCATTAGAAAACCTATCAGAATTAACTCTTTTAATGCGAGCAGAAAACATCCACAATGGCGTGCTTTGTTTCTTTATGCTTCTCGGTTCTTCTTTGTTGTCTTCGAAACCCAATTAAGGTAACTCACTCCTCGAAACCCCAAACCCCTTTATTTCTTCAAAATTCTCTCACTCAAAACATTGGTTTGATCAGCTAAATATTTCTAGAAAAAACAATCTTCTCGGAAGAGAACAGTTTATTGATTTATCGGTTGAATGCTTGATTTTTTCTTCTACTTTATTCTGGGTAGATTTCAAAGAATTTAGCTTCCTGTAGACTTTCAGGCTTTGAAACCACCGAAACAGGTTATTTCCCTCGTTATCTTTCTTCTTTATTTACCTTGAAAGCATGCTTCTTTTTATGTAATTACCAGCCATTTTTTGTAATTTCTGAAAACATAACATGTAAAATGGTTTAGACGCTGGGCTTTTGGCTAGAATTATGCCACCCAAGAAATGGAACCAATGTATGGATTTGTCATCCACTCATCTGTGGTTTTTCCTTTGAATGCTGAATTGTCGATAATTGATGAATTTATGTCTTCATCTCGTCGTCATCATCAGCTCGTTTTAAAATGCATGCTACAGTTTTGTATCCCTCCCTTCTTGGGAGTTTCAATGGAAGCTATAAATTTGCCTGGAGAATTTGGGGATTATGATTAAATGGTGATATAGGAAGGTAAGAGTTTTGGGTATCGAAATATGTTTCGCACAAGTATGTTCACTTCTTTATAAGTTCTTCCATATATTCTGAGGGTTCTTGGAAGTCAGACACTGTATCAGTACTTAAGTATGCAAGAAAAATGAACAGTTGAAGCAACATAGGTGTCGATAACAAAATAAAACTAAGTAAAAGCCAGAGAAAAACATTGTGAACTGATCTCTAACTGTTGTTACGTTTACAAAATAGTATATTTGGTTATATGTTGGATGCTTCTTTTTGCCATCCCCTTGCGTTTGTGTGCTTTTGTAATCTGATATTACGAATTAGTATCCGCAGCATCCTATTTTCTTCCTCCCTGCATCTGAATACCCCAACAAAGCATTTCGAAGATAAGGATGAAGTTTGAATGTAAGTTCTTGTACTCCAATGGTAATTATTGGTTATTGGGTAGGACCAGATATTGATGATGGTGGGTGATTTGTAGAAGCTTGTATCTATCAAAGTAGTTGATTCTTTTTGAAAATTGCATCAATCATTTTTGCATGCTCCTCCTGATAGTTGGAATTTTAAGGGTGAAAAATATAAGTTATCGACGTTTGTATCTGAATCTGGTCATTTCCAAATTTTTCTCCAAGGAAACCCTATTTATTAAAGAGAAATTTTTTTACCCTTGGAGTTGGAGGACATTGTTAGTGAAATCATTTAGTGGAATACTTTTGTTGTTTTTAACAGCCTCTGTGTGTTGATAGTCATTAGCGTATTGAATGTGAGGAAATATGTTTTGGAAGGTTACGGATATCCGGACTATTTGTTTTCCTTAAAATACTCGTGTATGCTACATATTTTGGATATGAATATGAGATATAACTCTTCAAAATTCAGTATAATTATGTTGGATACATATATGTATCCACACTTGCCTTCAAGTCTGGGTAACATAGGTTGAAGGGGTGCTATGTAAACCCCAAAGCAATTGAAATGCTGAAAGTAGTTGGCTTTCAAGGCAAAAACGGGTCATCAAATACCAACAGTTCTTGTTTTTGGGCCAAGTAAAATGAAACTTAGGTAGCTAGGCCCAATTCATATGTATATGAGATGGTGGCCTAGTCGCTTACCTAACCACTCTTTAAAATAGAACTTGTTACATGTTGACTCAGGGTTTTACCTGGTCCCAAGTAATAAACAAGTAGCCTACACGAGATTGTTACATCACTTATCAACAAATCTTAAAATAGCTAAAGATAAATAACTTTATGTTGTAAATTTTTTGATTTAATATTTTGTAACAATTTGGTTTTAAGAGTCTTTAAGTTTGCAAACTGGTAGTGTATGTCATCTATAAATGGGTAGTTTATAAAATATAAATCTAAATAGATAGGAAATATAATTAAATTATCACCAATAATTAGACAAGTCATAATAATTTATCGTAATTTATATGACGTCATCTTTAATAGGAAAAAAAGGAAATTGCAATATATTCTAATATCAGACAACAATATTCCAGGGGGAAATACAGAAGGAAAGAAACACTCATTGTTGAACAAAATTAATGTAATGTAATGTGATAAAATTCTTATATATACAGTTACAAAAGGGTGATTGTTATTCCGTATACTTATTACATTTTGAGCTTTAGCTGGTTCAGCTAATTCTTTCAATGATGGTTGAATATTGGCTTCTCTCTAGACCTTTATCTCCATAATATTTAACTTTTTGAACAATCAAATTTTAAGGAACTACTCTAGGATTAATTAGTTAAACTAGAGAGTTAAAGATTTGCTTGTCCTTGGCTTTTGTATGAATATACACAACTGTTTGTTGATTCAAATGCAATAACGGGGAAAATTAAAGTTATATTTATAAAATTTGAAGTATTGTTACAAGTTATGCTTAGAGCAAATCATTTTATACGCATGCATATTCTTAATATGTCATTACAGGCATCAACTTTGTGTTGGACCATTAGCATTTCTCATCAATCATATATTATATAGAACTTTTAATACGTTCAGTGTATCTCTTGCTATGGATCTTAAGGCACATTGCAATTTGTAACAATGTTGCACTTGCCTACGTTAAGTTGCTGAGGCTCACATGGATTATTCATGATCCTCTTGCTTTCTGTCCTGGAAAATGGGCACATCGATGCAATTACGACGCCAGGTTGCCTTATTTTATTGTCAAATCACCATTGCCGAAGTTCCAGATCAGTGCTCACTGACAAGGGATGCAGGCTCATCAGCAGTTCAGGTCATGGAGCTCAATACCGCAATTCCATGGTCGGAGCCAGCGGCAACAACATTTTCCTTGAATCATTATATCAAGGAAACGTCACGTAATACCACATTGATTAAGTTGGTCCCTGAGTTTTGAGGTTTTCAAAACCATCCTGTCAAGAATACTGCTGCGATCAGTACATTGGTATAGTTAGACTCGAAGTTTTGAGGTTTTCAAAATCACTAGGTAAAGAAAGCCCATCACACAAAAGTTTGAGGTTTAATCAGCTTTTGTCTCCTGTACTAGCCTCATTTATGTATTATTCTTAATCTTTTGAAGGGGAAACATTTTGAGTTGGGAGCTCCCTTTTCACACCTTTTGTATGAAGTGCAAGCTCATTGTTCAATTGAATGGAAAAAGAGGGCAACATACCATAGTTGAGAAGTGGTCCCAATAGCTTAGAAAAACCCTAGGATTGATGCCCTAAGGGCTTGACAGATATTCTAGGTTTATTAATTAGGGTTCAAGCAATTATCTTTTTTGTTTTATGGGAAGACAGCCTGAACCATTTGTATATAATAAAAAAGAAAAAATAAAGCATGCTTAAAGATTTAAATTGCATTTTCACGATTACTCATGTAATATGAAGCAACAGTTCCGGTGGTCCCCCTTTCTAGGGTTTTGGAAACACTTAACCTAGTAAAGTTTAGCCTGTTTTTTACTATTCTTTTTGCTGGAAATTTATGCGGAACATGGTAACAGTGCTTGCTAACACAGAGATCCAGAAAGGGCATTTATAGTTTCGAGTCCGGATTAACTGAAAATTTCAAGTTTTGGAAGAGAAAGGAAATGGGAAAATGTGCTAGGGCTCTTTTGTTCACTAAGAATACTGAGAAATATGATGTAAATAATGAACTGCAAGGGGACTTTGGAAGGTGCAGGTGTGGTTGATCTGATCTTTCAATTTTTATTTGTTTGATATCTTCCGATTCGTTACAAAGGGGGTCGTTGTTTGAGCATAACGGAACGGACTACCTGTGGATAGGACCCGAAACGGAACGGACTAGCTGCAAATAGGATCCGAAATTAAGGGTGCCTAGTACGTTAAGCCTTTCTTTCCCTTTCCCTTTCCCTTTCCCTTTCCCCTTGTTTATTTGTATTACCCTCTTTTGGAAGGGATGAGGAGTAGAGGTAAGGATTGAAATTTGACCCCAAATTAACTAAGGAACTGATATGAATCATTATGTAGTCTGAATTTGATTGTTGACCTTTTTGGTGAAGATTAATGGTGCTTGATCTATATCCATATTCCCCACCTAACGAGCCTTGGATAGGATAGCTGAATACCACTATAAATGGTTTCATACGCATTAGTATCAACATTCAACTCTCTCTCTCAGACGGTGCTTTCATAGCAAACCCTAGATGCAAACTGCAGAACATGATTTGTAAATACAACTCAATGGTAATTTACAAAATATTAAATGCCTCTTCTGAACTAATCATTTGATGCACCAGTTAGAAGAACATGCAGGATAAACAGCTTTCTTGTTGAAGTTACAACTGTAAGAAAACAGTTAGTCTGACAAATTCTCAACTTGGCAGAAACATAAGATCATATTACCAATATATCTATCTATATGTGGGTGTGGGTGTAACTTTGTTAACATTGTTAACTGGATTGTGAACTCGTGTCTGGCTTGCTCTCAAACTGTTTCTTCAGGGTCTAAAAAGGGAAAGAAAGATTCCAATTACCAATTCAAAGAAATCCTCAGCTTTCTATATTTATGTATATATGCAGTCTTTCTGTAAGCACTCAGCTTACTCAAACTTATCTTAAAAGTACAGATAAAATGGAACAAGCACTAATCATACATATCATTCATTTCACAATTAACTTCACATAAGTTTCCCTTTCCCTTTGCAGCAAAATCCCAGGAATCAGAGAGAGCGAGAGAAGGAAAAAGTAAGAAAAGAGAAGAAAAAAAATGTAACCCTGAATCAAGGAAACTAAGCTACAATTTAACCTGAGTATAAGCTAAGAGAAGATCAACATCTATTGATCATAACCTGTTTGTCCTTGATTCTGCTCATCTCTCCAATTCACTACATACATATATATGTTTTTCAAGCCTTTTGAGCTTCAGTTTGTTGATGAGGTTGTTGGTCACTTTTGTCTTCTGACGAATCTTCTTCTTCTTCTTTGTCTCGAGAGCTTCTGCTGCAGGAAGCTTTGTTTTGGGTAGCTTTGTCTTTTTCAAGCTCCCTATATTTATGTAAATACCTGACAATAGCATCAGCGTAGTCGTCAAACCCTAGAGCACCCAGCGCCCAACAGATGTCATCTCCATTGACGGTCTTTCGATTCTCTTTGCGACATTTGTCAGACGCCTCGCCAGTGACAAAGCTTATAAACTCCGTTGCACACTCTTGCATTGTTTGTTTAGCCTCTTTTGAGACTTTTGCCCTTGCTGGCAGGATTTGTTTCATGATCCTTCCCACGTTCGCAATTGGCAACAATCGCTCTTGCTCATCTACCATGTTTTGCTTGCAACTCAACAAAAATCAGATGATTATGAACTTTGATTCTCTCAAGCTTAGACACGTAGCTCTTTCTGCTCCATATATAAATGAGGATCCTATATGTATGTGTATATATGTACTATGATAATATGATTATCTGATACATTCGAGCTTCATCATAGTTATGCGCATGATATTCACTTGATTATTATCGAATAAATTAATTTCATATTTTTAAAACTAATATCTTAATACGTTAATATAAAGGTAATTAGTAAAGTAGGTTGGGGTTTTCTCTCTATACTCTGTACATATATTTAAAATATTCTTCCGAACACAAACTCTATGGATATTTCAAATCTGATGATTAAATGAAATTAATAGCATTCTCTCTTTATCCATTTACTTCAGCTCTTTAAATATCAAGTACGTACTGATTTAAGTTTCAAAATATCTATTTCCACTTATCTGTGTTTTAAAGGCTTTTTATCTAAATGTCAATAAATATGTGAAAATTTCGAACATCAATTCGATATAATATTATATGTGTGTAACTTACGGATGATTATCATTATACATTGACTCAAATTTTAATTAATAATTACGTTAGATTTTAGTATAATTCTACTTGTTGAAAATTACTTAGTGATTAATTATTTATGTGACAATTATTATGAAATAATTTTTTTGTGACCAAGTATTTGGTTATGTAAATATAGACCTAAAGTAGTATTAACTAAATTCTTAAGGCTATTAAGGAGTTTGTTAGAATTCAACTAAGAGATATGATAATCAATAGAATAGATAGAGTCAATAACTCTCTTTGTATTCAATGGGTATTGTCTAACCTTATTACTATGTTGAGTGTTCATGCTCCACGTTGGTTGCTTTGATGACTGTACTGTAGTTGTTTTGATGCTTGTACTGTAGCAGTTTATTGCTCCCTTTTGGGTAATAATATTCTTTTATTTATCCAAAAAATAAAGTAGTATTAACTTATAGAATTAGGATTATGAGAAATAATTATCGGAGAGATGTAATTTTATCAAGATCAATTTATTTTATAGGTATGTAGTAAGAGTTTTAATAAAACATCAGATTTGTGAGATATATGAGATGCATAGAATTTATGTATTTTAAATCTTTATAATTTTTATGTATTTAGTGGATGTAGACAAAATTGAACTGTGATAAATTTTGTATCTTATATGTAATTTATTTCATGTTAATCTCAGTTTTGATTACTTTTTCGCTTATAAATTTCTAATGATTAACCACTCACCATCACAACAATTTCGATGGGAGAATAAGTTAAAAATCCTAACCAGTTTTGAAATAGTTTTAAACAGGTTACCGATACTGTTTAAACATGAAACACTGTCCCAATATCTTGCCATTAGGTGGTTTTATCAGACAAATTCTCAAGAAACCTTCAAACTTTCAACTTAATTAGCATAATAATTAGTTGAAGTGAACATAACTTTGGAATATATAAAACAATATCAAATGAATAACTTTTTTTCAACTATACTAGCTAATGTTTAGCATTATCCTTAATCCAAATCAATTTAGATTATGCACCTAATACATAATTCCTAAAATTCTAAGCTTTTTGAGTTATAAACTGACCAATCAAAGTTCAAGCAAAAGTCATCAAGAGGGCTTTCTCTTTAATTAAATCTCGCTATATCTGCAGATCATTTGCAGGTTCTCCAACAAAAAGCAAACAAAAATAAAGAACCCCAAACCCTACAAAGACTTAACTATGGTCCCCCCACCCTTTCCCCTCCACTATCACCTTAAATGGTAAAGAATTATGTACTATATATTCAACACAAGTGGAGGATATTTTCACACGTTTGAATGTTTTAGCATTTATTATTCCTAATAACATATAGCAGTATACCTAAAAAAGAATTTATTCATAAACAGTATGATTAGTGTTTGATTAGCACAATAATTCTGGGTTAAATTAAGGTTTTGTCACTCTATTTGTCTGTCAAAGAATTCCCTTTTCTCATGAATTCGGTCTTGTTAGGTTTTTTGGTCAACTTTAGATGTTAACCCCTTCATGTAGAAGTTGACATATGAGGCCAGCCATATATATACCCTATCAGAGTTTCAAATCGCGGTCGCGTTTTTAGTCATTTGGGGTTTATCGTAATTGTGGCTGTCGCGGGCGCTATTGGGCGCTATTACGAGTGTAGCGGTTAACTCGGACGGCGGTAAAACCGCTATATCACGGTCGCGGAATGTTTTTTGAAACCCTGTACCTATATTTAGTACTTTCTTTAACAAATATTTACATTTAAAAAGACTTGTTATTGCAATGTGAGAATTCTTGTGGGGTACTTCTTCTTAATATACCAACAAAATGCATCAAACTTATAGTTGGCTCCACTAACAATTCCCACTAAGCTTGAAAAAGGCTCTCTGCAACCTCAATATATATGTATATATTTATGCACACTGTACTGTACGGGTTTTTGCAGAAGGTATTTTGTTTAACAGTTTTCGTTATACTTAGTATCACTTATGCATATTAATTGTTGACTAATAACCAATCTTAAATGTTAATCACAGTTTTCGTTATAATTAGTATCACTTATGCATATTAATTGTTGATTAAAAACAATCTTAAAAGTTAATCACAGTTTAATATATTAATACAGATAAAGGGTACCTGTTTATCAAGCCTAGTTGCCTGTTACAGCAAAAGATGCTTAGAATAGTATAAAATGTACAAGCTGTCCAAACCTCTCACTCAGTCACATACATCAAGGGTTTACAATATTATTATAAGAGTAGCTAGGGTTACATCCATAAGGGAAAAGGTATAATCCCTAGACTGTTGGAACTTTATTAGGCCTTTAATTACAGAAAATAATATAATGCAAAGTATTTGTTTTCATGGTTTCATCTTTTTAATTAGGCCAAAACCTAACTTCGGTAAGATTTCGTTTCAGTACTCTTATCTGCAATTCACTCACTAATCAGGAATCTGGTTTGGTTTAGTTTAATATACAAAAAGAAGTGTATAATTAACTTTCTAGAGTTAGGGTTTATAGTCTTTGCCTAATTGGATATAGCTCAGAATTTGATGCCTTTCTTGTTGTTGAATATATATTTGTAGCTTTATTATGATCTTGTCAATCACTGCTCAGCGAGTTTGGCTGCTGGATAGTAAAAGAAAATATTATTTTTTAAAAAGATTCACCTATTTAAAAATATATAAAAATAAAATATATTAAATATATATATATATATAATGGTAGCAATATACATCATCCTTCTTACCCAAACAAGGCTGCCTAGTTTGCCTATCCACCCTTCCTATCCAAATAGATGTATGGAAACGAATTAACACAACAAATCATAAGTCAATCTATTCATAAGCATCACGCTTTGATTATCCGTCAATCCATTGACGTCACATAACATTAATTACGCAGATTATATAATAATATTTCCTTTTTATTGAGAAGTTAACGAATAATATTTGAATTATGAAGTTAGACACTAGCCTTTCTCTAATTCAAAGATGTTGTGGATACTGGAGAAGGAGTTAGCCCATTTCACCTAATCCATCAACTCGTCCGAATTACCAAAAATCCATAACACAAAATACCAAAGTGAAGGTTTTGAACCCTAACGGCCCTTTATGGGAGCCTCCATTTTATATTATTTGGTATTATTTTAGTCAACTATTTATTTAGTCAATCACTTTTTCTCACAGTTTTATTTTAGTCATCTAATTATTTTCTTAAATCATACCTAATGTTCTGTTTTGATTATCCGCTGTTAAAAAATAAATAAAATTATTGATGTAATAATTTTTTTCATTTATGATATGTAATTATCTTAGGGTGACACATTAACATCACCGTTAATTTTTTAACGAGAGTGATTAAAACGTAAGGTTACAAATATTTTGAAAAAATGGTTGAATGACTGCAACTAAATCACATAAATAAACGTGTAATTAAATGCATAGTTTATCTTAAGAAAATTATGTGTGACAAATGATATATTACTTATCATTCATGATATATACAAATAAACATGTGACATGCTTGTACTTTATGAGTGTTAAATTAGAAGAAAAAATTTAATAGTTTAAGTATCATTTTTGACAAAAAGAGAAATTAAATACTGAGTAAAAAAATGGATTATAATTTAGGATCAATTTGTGAATAGAGCCTTCTTTTTTGTTCCGTTGAAATTCATTTTTAAGACAAGAGGCAAGTGCCAAGCCAAACAGGCCAACATCCGGAACTACGTTGCATTTTTAAACATTTCTCTGGTCAAATCCAATCAAAAGTCTTATATCTGATAAGTATATATTTCTCTGGTCAAATCCAAATCCGCGAGACAAAACACACTGGTAAGGTAGACAAATTCCGGCGACGATGGCGAGGGAAATCTCTGGCCTCGCGTACCCGGACCGATTCTACGCGGCGGCTGCTTACGCTGGATTCGGCGGGTCTCCCAATCCCAGCAACCAGGACATTGCCTCCAGGTTCTCCAACGACGTCGCTTTGATCCTCTACGCCTTGTACCAGCAGGTAATTTCACTATTCTCATCTAACATCTATCTTAGTTCATTGGATACCGCCTTCTCCATACGACACCAGCTTGTTAAGTTTTTGCTATTTTCCAGCAATGTGATGTTTTTTCTTATTTCGGATAAGGATTTCGTATATTATAATTGATTTTCCATGTACATATATTTGAAGCATTTGAAGTATAATTCTGGTAGATCTGGCTTTGCACTCTGAATTTAAGACAATTCGATTGTTGATCTCTCGGATAGCTGAATAAACATTTATGTTGTACTTGAAATATGAAGCTCATATTTTGTCAGGTCACTGATTTGCTGAATTGCTATTCGGTTTGCAGGCTACCGTAGGTCCTTGTAATGTTCCAAAACCAAGTTTATGGAATCCTGTTGAACTAGGCAAATGGAGAAGGTTTGCACGCTCATTTGTATCTATCTGTTTTTTTTATAGGAACATTTGTATCTATCTTTAATTTACCTTTTTAGTCTTGTTGCCGTTGAGTTGTAATGGTTACGCTTAAGGTGGTAATGT